GACAGCTCCAGTTTACAGTAACCTGCTTTTAACTCGTGCGCGAGGGCTTTTCACAGCAGCTCTTCATACACACTTGTTAAGGTCAACTCTGTTTTTTTCCGCCTGAAGTTTTTCCTGCTCTGCGTTCACCATGATTGAAGCTCATGCCAGTGTTTTCGCCCCCTGCTGGTGATTCAGGACTGCAGATTTTCTCCTGTTTTGTTGGTTTTGAAAGTAAAGGTCAGAGAGTGGGATGCTGGAGTTTATTTAAACATGCTTTTTGGCCTCTGTAGACTCAAATCTGTACATAGCATGCGTTGCTTCCAGTCAAGTTTTATATTAGGACTGGAAAAATCAGACATTGTGATATATATTGCAGTATATTGTTTCACTAGATAATTTGATGAGCTCTATTTGGAAAGATTTCAATAATTTAGGTTGACTTGGATAAATTAGGTTGAATTGCAATAAAAATTTTTATTAAATTAAATAAGCTGTGTTTTATTGTTTTTCCAGGGGAAAAAAAATAATTTGAAAAAAAAAATCCACAAATTCCTGCGTAAATAAAATAATAATTAAATATGCAAATAAATAAATTTTAAAAATCCACAAATTTCTGCATAAATAAAAAAAATATGCTAAAAAAATAAATGTATATAATAAATCTATAAATTCTTGCATAAATAAAATAATAAACAAATAAACATGCAAATAAATAAATATAAAAAAATCCACAAATTCACGCATAAGTAAAAAATATGCTGATAAATAAATCTTTATAACAAATCCATAAATTCCTGAATAAATAAAAAAAGAAAAATGCAAATAAATAAATATATATAAAAAATCCACAAATTCCTGCATGAATAAAATAATAAATAAATATGCAAAATGAATTTATATAACAAATCTCTAAATTTCTGCATAAATAAAATAAATATGCAAATAAATAAATTTATATATGAAATCCAAATTATTAAATAAATGCATAAATAAGATTATAAATAAATACACTATTATATAAATAGGTAAATGAATCCATAAATTCCAGCATGGATAAAACAATAAATAAATATGCAAATAAATAAATATATATAATAAATTCATAAATTTCTACATAAATAATAAATAAATTAAAAATAAATAAATGTATGCATATTCAAAATCCACAAATTCCTGCATAATGAAATGTATGAATAATTAATAGTGGGGGCAGATAAGCATTAACAGAACTTTAACCTTGCATGCATTCACACGTTTTAATATTTTAATTAATCAAATAGCATCAACGTAAAAATAAAATGAGAAAACATTATAAAAATTCTACATTAATATGCAAACAACTATAAAATTATATAAAGTATTACATAAATGTATTTTTATTTTAATAAAGATTGAGTGGCATGTTTATTCTCTGTCTTAAAGACAAATAAAAAATGTATACTGATAGTTATTGTTTGTATGAATTAACAGAAAATATTGTTAACTCTAATGCAACAAGGATCTAAATAAACACACCTGTGAAATTATATATAATTATATTTCTTCCTTATTAAATTGTTTTGTGCACCTTATTTATTTGTTTAATTATTTTTTGTAATCTTATTTTTTGGAATGTAATGTTTTTTTTTCTGCATGAAATTATAAAGCCATTTAATGATCAATAACGCATTTATGTATTTATATTTATACATCTCTTTTTGAAGTCTGGTGAATGTGTTGATACCTCTGCGCAGACTAAACACAGATGATGATGATGGTCTGCATTTCAGACACACCCTGATTACGCGGACTGCTCATCTAATATAGTGCAGCTGCTGCCACCTGCAGGACTCCACTGATATTACACCTCTGTGTTTCACCTCATAATATCAGCATTCTCACGTCAGATCCACAAATAAGTCCTGTCAGCACTTTTGACTGCACAAGCATCGTTCATTCATTCATTCATTCTCTTTTGGTTTAGTCTCTATTTCAGAGGCATCATATACAATAGAATACTGTAAATAAATGGTTAAAGTTTCTTAAATTCCTCTACATAAAATGTTTAAACCAGAAGCATTGTTGTGTGTGTTAGTCAAGCATCTGGACATTTGCATGATATGTTGATGTCAGCCAGAAAGTATTAGTTACACACTTGTGCATATTTATTAATTGGATTATTTTAGGTTTTTTAGGCTATTTCAGAACTTGCACATTGACGCAGTTGTTGATTGACAGGCAAGAGAGTTGTTTTAATATAGCTAATGGTTCAGATTTGCTAAATAATAATAGCAGCACTCCGGTTGGTGAGTATATGGATATAGTAGGACTCTGCCAATAAACTAATTATATCGAATCGCGATAAAATTTAAGTTGATAAGCTCTGGACTTTTTTTACTCTACATTGATCTAAGAACCAATCACAAAGCATAAATGTGCAACAATGGGAATCTAAAGTGTGCGTGTGAATTTTTGGCCACCTAAAAATTGGTTCTGTTACTTAATTTGTGACTTCAGTCATTGTTTGGTACTCTTAAAGAGCCATGAAACCCCCTCGTTTCAGCAGGGTGTTTTCACACCTCTACTTTGGAAAAAGTCAGGAAAGTGGGCGTGTCCAGCTCTGTTTAGGGGGGAGTGTCGGAGGAGTAAAAGAGGGAGGGTCTTTAAAAAAATTTGCATAAAAATGGGGAGTGTCGGTTTGGGCACGCGCTGATTTTCACAGAGTCAAAACACACACACACACACACACAGGGGAGAAAGTGTTTACATGGACATCAGTTATCGAATTATTTGACTAATTTTAAAGTGGTGGACTTATCTACAGTTTGGCTCTTTCATTCAGGCAATTCATTCATGCCCCTCGTGACAAACGAGATATTTGATTCGAGGAGCTGCTCTAAGCGTGTATTTTGCATGCAGTGTTAGCTACTGCATGGTGAACGAGAGACAAAAAAAACTCTGCATTTCCCGGAAACTTAGATGCACACGGCAGGCAGCTTCAGAAAGCCTATTTATTATACGGCGAATGAAGCTCTGCACACTTTTGGCCAGCGGAGAAATTAAAATGGTCGTGCCCAACTGAGTCTGGTTCCCTCAAGGTTTTTTTTCTTCACTCCCATCAGGTAAAGTTTTTTTTTTTTCCCTCTCCACTTTCGCCACTGCCTCGCATGGTTCAGGATTGGTAGAACTACGCATCGATGAATTTGCTCTTCAGTGTTTGAACTCTCAGTAATGATTAAATCACACTGAACTGAGCTAAACTGAACTGAACTTAAACACTAAAACCTGAACCACACTGTTCCAGTTACTATGACCATTTATGTGAAGCTGCTTTGACACAATTTACGTTGTAAAAGCGCTATACAAATAAAGCTGAATTGAATTGAATTGAATTATTTCTGTCACAAAATGCGGTGAAAATCCTTCTTGGATTGATTTGGGGGTATTTTGTATAGGAGTGAATCTCGAATAATTTAGAACAAATAAATGGCAAGCAGAGATGAATAAAATATAGTAAAGATAAAAGTGAATGATAGTGTTCAGTAGGGGTGTAACGGTATCAGAATTTCACGGTACGATAATACCTCGGTATGAATGTCACGGTACGGTATTAATTGAATAATTTACAGGAAAAACAAAACTAATGAAAAGACTCTTAAAAAGTGCCAAAAGTGTCAATGACATACAAATTAGCCATCTACCTGTAAGCTTTGAAACAGCAACTTCAATTTTTCAATTTTAGTAACAAAAAAACTAATAAACCATATAAAAAAATTAAGTGTCAATTTAATATTGTTGAAAACTCATCACATTCAACATTTGATCGCTCACTCACTTAGATAGAGATGGGTTTTTAAGGAAAATTATCATATAACTATGATCTGGTAAAAGCTGGATCTCTGGGCATGTCCCCTGCAACAGAAAAACCCCTCTCATTTGGGACTGAGGTTTCTGGGACAGAGAGATATGATTTAGCCAAGGTTGACAGCAGTGGGTAACATTGTGCATTGTCTTTCCCCCACTTGAGAAGCCATGAGTGAGATAGAGGTCTCTTTGCGGTACAAGTCAATGTCTGCATCAATCTGAACAGTGTGCTGTGTTCTGCAGTCCCCATGACTGTTATTAGTTGTATTCCCCGACTTATATTTCACCACAGTCTGGCAGTGCCTGCATACTGTTGTTTTCTTTGTCTGTTACCTTTTCTCCTTTCTCGTATCTTTTTTGAGAGAAACCGAAATGCTTCCACACATATGATTTAAAACCCGCTTTAGGTTTGATCATTTCCAGCTCTTTTTTCATCCCCGCTACTAGCAGCACACTCCATTTCCACATTACTGGATCTGTAGTGACAACAGACCGCAAAGGATGATGACCACGCCTAGGCTGATGGGAATTGTAGTTCCCGCTACCTCCCGTTCGCTTCATTCGCCTGAGCAAATTTTCTCAGAAGTCCTATAGTTTTATCGAGTCATGCGACTACGGTAATATTGAAAAAAAATTGCTATTGCGGTATGACGGTATTTACAATATCGTTACATCCCTACTGTTCAGGTATTCACTATTCAGGTACAGATACTGAATAATCCACTCTGCATAGTCTTCATTGTAGATTACTTAATCTTTATTAAAGTTACAAAACATTTCTTGTGGCCAGATGGTTTAAACTCTGACATGTTCACACTAGGGTTGGGCCAATGGCCAATAGACAGTCACAGGCCTTAAAGGGACAGTTAACTCAGATTAAATTGTTCCTACTATTCACTCAATATACAATAATGTCCTCATTATTAACTCTCTCCCTACTTGTTTCAATACTATAGGAGTTATTCGATTCTATTCTTTTTGTGTTCATTTAAAAAAAATTTAACTTGAATGTTTAAAACAAGAGAAGGGTGTAATAAAAATGGCAAGTTATTTTTGCGTGAATTGTTTTTATTCTAAGACGTATTAGTGTAAACGGGCCTAAGACTGATATAAGACGTATAAGCCTGTATTTACTCTTTAATAAAGGCTGATCTTGGTTGTTTGTGTATCTTCAGGTGATCATCGAGGTGACGGAGATGCTGCACAATGCAAGTCTGCTGATTGATGATATTGAGGACAGCTCGAAGCTGCGGAGGGGTTTCCCAGTGGCCCACAGCATCTACGGCATCCCGTCGGTCATCAACTCTGCAAACTATGTGTATTTCTTGGGCCTGGAGAAGGTGCTGATGCTGGAGCACCCGGAGGCGGTGCGTGTTTTCACCCGGCAGCTGCTGGAGCTGCACCGCGGCCAGGGTCTGGACATCCACTGGCGGGACACATACACCTGTCCCAGCGAGGCTGAGTACCGCGCCATGGTGCTGCAGAAAACCGGAGGCCTCTTTGGGCTCGCTGTAGGCCTCATGCAACTCTTTTCTGACTGGAAACGAGATCTGAAGCCACTTTTAGACACTCTAGGGCTGTATTTCCAGATCCGGGACGACTACGCTAATCTGAACTCCAAAGAGTACAGCGCTAACAAAAGCTTCTGTGAAGACTTGACCGAAGGAAAGTTCTCGTTTCCCACCATTCACGCCATCTGGTCGCATCCTGAGAGCACACAGGTGCAGAATATTCTGCGTCAGAGAACGGAGAACTTGGATATTAAGCGGTACTGTGTGGATTATCTGGAGAAGGTGGGCTCGTTTGCTTACACCCGGCAGACGCTGCTGGATCTGGAGGTGGAGGCTTACAGGCTGATTAAGGAGCTCGGGGGAAACCCGGAACTGGAGGCTTTAGTGGAGCATCTGAGCCGCATGTATAAAGAGCCTGAGGGCGGAGCTACTGTAAGCCAATCAAAATAAACTGAGGCGGAGCTACAGCTGGGCATTCAAATGAGTTCAAGGGCAGAGATGCATTAGTTAAAACAGTCTGGGGCGGGGCTACAGCTGGGCAGGCAAAAGAGTTCAAGGGCAGAGATGCATTAGATAAAACAGTCTGGGGGCGGGGCTACAGCTGGGCAGGCAAAAGAGTTCAAGGGCAGAGATGCATTAGATAAAACAGTCTGGGGGCGGGGCTACAGCTGGGCAGGCAAAAGAGTTCTGGGGCGGAGATGCATTAGTTAATACAGTCTGTGGGCGGGGCTACAGCTGGGCAGGCAAAAGAGTTTTGGGGCGGAGATGCATTAGTTAATACAGTCTGTGGGCGGGGCTACAGCTGGGCAGGCATAAGAGTTCAAGGGCAGAGATGCATTAGATAAAACAGTCTGGGGCGGGGCTACAGCTGGGCAGGCATAAGAGTTCAAGGGCAGAGATGCATTAGATAAAACAGTCTGGGGGCGGGGCTACAGCTGGGCAGGCAAAAGAGTTCTGGGGCGGAGATGCATTAGTTAATACAGTCTGTGGGCGGGGCTACAGCTGGGCAGGCAAAAGAGTTTTGGGGCGGAGATGCATTAGTTAATACAGTCTGTGGGCGGGGCTACAGCTGGGCAGGCAAAAGAGTTCAGGGGCGGAGATGCATTAGTTAATACAGTCTGGGGGCGGGGCTACAGCTAGGCATTCAAAAGAGTTCAGGGGCGGAGATGCATTAGTTAATACAGTTTGGGGGCGGGGCTACAGCTAGGCAGGCAAAAGAGTTCTGGGGCGGAGATGTATTGGTTAAAATGGTCTGGGGTGGGGCTACAGCTGGGCAGTCAAAAGAGTTCAGGGGCCGAGATGTATTAGTTAAAACAGTATGGGGCGGGGCTACAGCTGGGCAGTCAAAAGAGTTCAGAGGCGGAGTTGTATTAGTTAAAATATTATGGGGGTGGGGCTACAGCTGGGCATTCAAAAGAGTTCAGGGACAGAGATGCATTAGTCGGTTAAAAGAGTGGAGGGTGGAGCTTCAGCTGGGCATTGAAGAGTCTGGGGCGAGGGTGCAGCTAAGTATTTAAATGTCTGAGGGTGGAGCTGCAGTCAGCCAGTTAAAATAGTACTGAGATGGAGATGAGTATTTTAAAGTACATGGGCGGAGCTGTAGTCAGCCATTTAAAATAGTATGGGGTGTGGCTTCAGCTTGGAATTCAAGAGTCTAGGGCGGGGCTACAGCTGAGTGTTTAAATGTCTGGGGGTTGAGCTGTATGCAGCCAGTTAAAATAGTGTGGAGGTGGAGCTGAGCATTTAAAATATGGGGGTGGAGCTGCAGTCACCTTGTCTAAATAGTACAGGGGTGGAGCTTCAGCTGGGCAATCAACATTTTTTTGGGGTGGAGCTGTAGTCAGTCAGTTAAAATAGTATGGGGGTGGCCTTTCAGCTGGGCAATCAAGACTTTGGGGGGTGGGGCTATAGCCGAGCATTTTAAAGTCTGGCAGTGGAGCTGCAATCAGCCAATTTAAATAGCATGGGCAGGGCTTCAGCTGGGCAGTCAAAAGAGTCTGGCGCAGAGCTGCAGTAAGCCTGTTATAATAGTATGGGGTAAAGCCAGTGCTACTGAAGCATTTATAAGTCTGGAATCTGGAAGAAGAGCTCAGCCTGTTTAAATAGAATGGGTGGAGCTGGGCATTTAAAAGTCTGGGGGTGGAGCTACAGTCAGCTAGTTAAAAAGTATGAGGGCGGAGCTTCAGTCAGGCACTCAGAAGAGTCTAATGCTGATGATTTACAGGGCAACTTTTGGGAAACTATGCCATAAATGGGCAATCAGGTGTGACCAGGGTAACTAATTAGAGCAATGGGTTACAGATACAATACTGTTGCCCATTCTTAATAGAAACATTGCCAAGCAAACATCGCTCTGGAAAATTACCTGGCAACACTGATCCTGAAGTGTCCCTAGTGTTTCATCAGGAGGAGGCGGAGCTGCAGTCAGACATTTAACATAGTATGGGGCGGAGCTGAGCATGCAAAAGTCTGGGGCGGAGTTGTAGTCAGTCAAAATAGTATAGGGCGGAGCTTCAGCTGGGCACTCAGGCAGAGCTGCAGTCAGCCAATCAAAACAATGACTCATGCTAATCAGGTCTGCACTGTGAATGAACCATTTCTGTAGTATTTGTTTAGACTGAGGGCAGGAAACAAAGTCTGTTCTGTTTGATTCGTATTTCATAGACTTGTGAAATTGGCGTCTTAAATATTTGGTCATTTTCCATGGTTAAATATATGAAGAGTTTCCTTATAAATGAACCATAAAAACTCTCAGATTATACAACCATTTAATGTTTAAATGATTAATGATTTCACCACAAATTATATTGACTAAGAGGATGTTCATGGACCTTTCTTTTTGTATTACTTATTGTTATTATTAACATGTCGACTGTTTTCATTATTAAACCAATATTTTAGTAATGATCATGGTTATTATATGATTAGTGATATTCTGCTCTTTTGCCTTTGAGAATGTTGAAGTCAGCACATTCATTTATTTATTCTTCCTCATTAAGAGATCGTCATGTGAGTGAATAATGTCATACACGGTTTATTCAGCTGACGTGATGAGGCCTTATGTTCACGTGTGGATACTCCAACACTCCTGAATGTCTGTCGTTCGTGTGTTTCTGTTTAGCAGTTGTTGGGTTGTTTTTGGGGGCTGATGATGTTAAAGGACGCTGAACATTCACCTGAGGATCAAATAACTCTGAAATAGTGAATTTCGCACCATGTTTGATGTTTTACAGGTCATGTGCGTTTTATCAGACTCCTTCCACTTTTGATTTTGTTCTTTTATTTGTTGTGTCTTTTGAATACTTCCCTGAATAAACATTCAGCCACTCATGTTCTCATCATGCTAGTGTGCATTTTTCCAGTAAGGGCACCTTTTTTAAGATTTATTTTTGGCCTTTTTGCTTTTATTAGATAGGACAGTAATGAGGCAGAGAGGGAAAAGGAGGGAGAGGGTTGGGAAATGTCCTCAAGCCGGGATTGGAACTCCTGACGTTTTACTGAACCATATGTCGGCGTGCTAACCACTAGGCTATTGCACCGACAGGGCACCATTTTTACCCCTTTCACAAGATGTAAGATAAGCCTCTGGTGTCTCCAGAAAGTGTCTGTGAAGTTTCAGCTCAAAACACTCATCAGATTATTTATTATATAAAATAAAATCTGCCCATTTTGCTGTTGAGTACAGTGTGGCTGTTTTTGTTGCCTGTGGCTTTAAATGCAAATGAGCAGCTTCTCTCTCCGCCCACTGCTCCCATGCGTGTCTGACTGCTGTTTATCTGATGTAGTGCAAGAAAAGCAGTGACAGAGACAGACACGGATGAAGCGGAAATGCAGCTTAGTAGTCAAAAATACCATGGAAGTTTATTTGATGTATTTGTGTTGGAGTTTATTCAAGCCTTTCTGATATGAGTCACACACAAATGCCGTTTGCGGTACACGCACAGACAGATGCATGGGGCCGTGGTGATTATAGCAGTTATAGGAATTACAGTATATAGCGATTTTTTTTTTTTTTTTTTTTTTTTTTTTTTTTTTTTTTTTTTTTTATTTAATTTTATTATTATTATTATTATTATTATTATTAATAATATTTTTATTACAAACATGCTCCGTTTTAAAAACATCTATTCACAGAGAGTTGAACAGATTTTAATCCCAGTGTATTTGCACATAAATATTATGTGGACGAGTATACCTGTTATTATGGAGACATGGCACCTGTCAATCAATTCAGTGGGCGGGGAAACTACAGATGCACGTCACGTTGTGGTGGGCCTCAACATAGGAGGGATTTGGGTCCTACTTTAACATCAGGAAATATAAAAAAAAAAGACTTATTGTGTTTATATCATCCCCATATGACTGTGGACACGCTATACTGCACACAGTTCTGTCCAAACAGCAGACAGAAGATGACTTTCATCATAGATGCCCTGTAAAGGACGTCTGGTTTTGCATCTAAACTATAATGAAAAGATTTGCTGTATGATTGATTAGTATTGCATCAGGTCAGCAAGCAAATTATTAAAGTTTAAACAATTTACAAGTTGCTCTTTTTTTCAGGTCTGATTTCCCCTTTTCTGATGTGTCAAAACAGAATCTCAACACTTGGTGGTGCAAAAGACACACAAGCAGCAGCCTGAAGACCATTAGCGTAGTTCTTT